TATACCTGAATTTAAGAATGTAATATTTTAAAAATAATACAATTTATTTTTTAATTAGGTAGAGATCTTTTCCTAGCAAGCTGTTCACAAGATTGCCTGATAAGAATATGGAAGCTGTATGTAAAATCGACATCTTTAGAAACTCAGGATGATGATAGTGTAAGACTGAAGGAAAATACTTTTACTATAGGAAATGAAAGTGAGTAATAATGAAAATACTTGGTATAACAATACTTAGGTTTCCCCGCTGGTTCACTTATTTCACCACATACTTATATGAAGATTAGTTTTTCAGAAGTGTTGGTTCCCTACCTGAAACTGATACTGTGCATTTTTCTTTTTTCTTTTTATGAGTGGATGAGTCATTTTTCATATGATAAACTTACTTTTCTTCTAAACTATATTAGTAAGGTTTTAAAAGATGACTGGTAAGGGGATCTTAACCCTTGACTTGGTGTTGTCAGCACCACACTCAGCCAGTGAGCGAACCGGCCATCCCTATATGGGATCCGAACCCGGGGCCTTGGTGTTATCAGCACCACACTCTCCCGAGTGAGCCACAGGCCGGCCCTTCAGCAATTTTTTAAAACCTTACTAATATAGTTTAGAAGAAAAGTAAGTTTATCATATGAAAAATGACTCATCCACTCATAAAAAGAAAAAAGAAAAATGCACAGTATCAGTTTCAGGTAGGGAACCAACACTTCTGAAAAACTAATCTTCATATAAGTATGTGGTGAAATAAGTGAACCAGCGGGGAAACCTAAGTATTGTTATACCAAGTATTTTCATTATTACTCACTTTCATTTCCTATAGTAAAAGTATTTTCCTTCAGTCTTACACTATCATCATCCTGAGTTTCTAAAGATGTCGATTTTACATACAGCTTCCATATTCTTATCAGGCAATCTTGTGAACAGCTTGCTAGGAAAAGATCTCTACCTAATTAAAAAATAAATTGTATTATTTTTAAAATATTACATTCTTAAATTCAGGTATAAGACTTTCTCCTTTACAGTATGTATATTTCCAGAATTCCCCCCCAAATCAGACTCTGTTTCTTTACCCTTCATTCATTTGACCTGTATATATTCATTTTAATAACATTGAAAAATATACATACAATGCTAATAAATGTTTATAAGATATGATACTCAACACAGTCTACTAAGTTCTACAAAGAACTTCTCAAGGATGTCTGCATGTGGACAAGTCAGCTAGTGTCATCCAACTTGTTTCATCCTCTACCACTCAATTCACAGTTAATGGAAGGGATAAGTATCCTCTTTTTTAAATGGGACAATAAAAAAAGTAACATACAAAGAAAACTTAAGGCTGCTTTCTTGGAAAGGTTACACATACTTGTCCTTAACACATGTGCTTTAGCAAAATTTCATACTGACCAAAGGCTGCCCATTCCACGCCTCTTATCCAGTCCTCATGTCCACAGAGTAAAAGCACTTTCTGAAACTAGTAAGATAACAAAAATCATTGGGCTTGATGTAAGAATTTAACTTCCATGTATATCAGGGACTTCATTTGGTCTCAGCCAGACCTACTACACTGCTCTTTTACTGGGAATAATATCTGTTTAGACATAGGATAAAACACTCATTTGGGAACTCAACATGTAATATCATGTGTAATATCTAAATCATCTCATGGGGCAACCTGGAGGAGACAGGCAATATAGTATCTGTAGATCTCAAATACTTTACAAGTTTACAAGGTAAAATGACATATGTATATATAATATCAAAAGAAAGCTGAAAAGTTGGAATTCACAACCATTTTAAACTTTCTTATAGAATGCAAAAAAACAAGTATCCTCATTATTAAATAAATGGGCCTAGAGTTAACAAACCCCCTTTCTGGAACTTCTGTCCTCTAGTTTAACCACTCAAAGTATAGGTAAAACTAAGAAGGACAAACACACTTCCAGGAGGTGCTTCACGTATGTCATATCTCATTTAATTTTTTTAAGGAAAATACCACTACCATCACATCTTCCTTCTCTCCTTCCCCCACTAATGACCCGTTTCCCCCTAACAACTCTGGGGCTGGTGGCCAAGGCAGCAATTAGTTGGCATTCAAACATAGTGGAAAACCATCCAACAGAGGACTGTGAAGAAAGATTCTTCTACTGGATTATTTTGGTTTAGATTACAACATCCCTAAAATTCTATAATCTGGAAATAGTCTGTATGAAAACATGTAATTAAGAAAAACATAATTCTAGTCTCTTAATAAACATCATTAGTTACCTGATCATTTTGTTGAGCAAACAAGTGAATTTTGCAGTCATCATCTCCACATGCTAATATTGGTACTGGGAGGGAAAAAAAAGAGACTTCACTGTAAGTACTCCACCATGTTACAATAATCACCTATGCTGGACTCTAGGCTTTAGGTAAAAAATCCTTACTTCTCTTACCTATACCACAGAGCAAATAAATTAAAAGTGCTTGATAAATGTCTATGAATAAAATGAGTGCTCTAAAATGTTCTGCTCAATGGTTACCTGACTGTTAATTAACTAAGAGTGCTTTTTCCTCCATTCTATGTCATTGATGACTGAAGGAGCAGTGAAAAGAGAAGCTCAAGAGCCAAGTAGGGAGAATTCTCACTGTGTTAGCCAGAAGATCAATATGAAAAGTTGTTACCCAACTGAGTAACAAAGAGCTACTAAGAGCCCAGCATCATGGCTACTGCACAAAGATCTAATGGTATATTTGTTACATAGAGGGTCTTTACATTTTGTTTGAGAAATCAATACTGAAACAAAATAAAAGAGCACATAATTAAATATGTAGTTAAAAAGCTATGAAGGGTACGACTATAAATTAGTTTTCTGTAATATAGATAAAAAAACTAATTCCGGGCTGGCCCGGTGGTGCACTGGATAGTGCGCCGCTTGGGAGCGCGGCGGCGCTCCTGCCAAGGGTTCGGATCCCCTGTGGAGACCGGTTCCCGCTCACTGGCTGAGCGTGGAGCGGGCGTGGCGCCGAGGGTTGCGATCCCGTTGCCGGTCAGTAAAAAAGACAAAAAGGAAAAAAAAAAAACTAATTCCATTACTGAAGGACAGCCCTAGTAAAACTCTGGAGCAAGATAAAATAAAGACTTTTTCTACAGAAATGCCTTGATATTAAGTGTATTTTTCAAAGATTTTATTTTAAATCAACTGAAAAAACAAAACAAAACAAAAAAAAACCTCCAGTCACTTGGCCTCAATGTAGATGTGAAAAAATGAAATTCTATGTGTGCAGCTCCTCTTCCCAGGGAGGCTTTGCACATAGTGGAAGCACAACACGAAATTATGGAGTAGCAACTCCTGCTGCAGAGGGCAAGAGAGTCTGACAGCTTCCAGGCCCTGCCTCTCTCCACCTGGCTTGTCCTCCAGCTAACTGAGGAAACAGAGTCTGACTGACTCATATTGCTATTAACTTTGTGGAGATGATGTACTGATGGGTTTCACAGCAAAGACTGACTATTTTTTTTTTTTTTGTCTTTTGTCTTTTTTCCGTGTCCGGCAACGGATCGCAACCCTCAGTGTTGCCCCCGTACCGGACTGGGGACCGGCAACGGGATTGCAACCCTTGGCGTTGCTCCTGCGCCTCGCTCAGCCAGTGAGCAGGAACCGGTCTGTATGTGGGATCCGAACCCTCGGGCAGGAGTGCCGCCGCGCTTCCCAAGCGGCGCACTTATCCAGTGCGCCACCGAGCCGGCCCAAAGACTGACTATTTTTGTTCGAAGATTTTAAATGGTCTTAGGCAAGCTTTTAGTACGCCGGATGTGAAAGGGCAGTCACTTTAAGAGAAATAATACATGGTCCACCTTCAGTACATATGCAGATGTACAAATATACTGCTGGTCATATGGAGATATACAAATATACTGCTCTTTTAATATATACTTAGCAGAATACTTACCATCCGTATTAGGCAAAAAAGCTAAGCAGACAACCAGAGCGAATCCATTTCCAAAGTTCAAGGTCTGAAGGCATGTTACTAAGAAATAATAAAAAATACCATGAACAACCAACTGAACTTGTCCACCTAGACAGGTTGGGTAGCACAGTTACAATCCTTGGTGTCAGCGGGGAGATGAGAGAAGCCAATCCTGAGACACCACTGGTCATTTAACGCTAAATGGACAATTTTTAACAAGGTTATAGAGAACAAAATGACTTACATAAAAAGGCTGAGAAGGAATTTATATTGACAAAGCTTGGTGTAGAGGAATTTTGAACAAATGCAAAAGAAACAATTATTTAGATTAGAATTATGTTTTAAAGCTGCTTGAAAGTTTGAAAAAATTATAGGTATGCTCTTCTAGAAGTCATTCATTTGATAATTACTGTTTCAGTTATCTGTATTATAATGTCTCCAAACCTACCTTCTGAACCCTTTTTAGACCAGAGTCGAACAGTAGAATCTGAAGCTGCAGAAACCACCAGCGTGTATAATGCAACGTCTGACGCCCTCCTCTGATAAACAGCATGAACTGCATAAACAGGTCCTTCATGGCCTTGGAGGTGGACTGTGTTTAAAAGCTAAAATCAGAAAGAATGATAAAAGCATTGCAATTAAAAAGGAATTGACAGTTTCACTTTTTATTTAACTGGAGTCACAAGATTAAAGGTACTGTTAAAAGGTCTGACCCAGAAATAGGTCCTCTCAGTTGAAGAGAATGTAAACTTTCAAGAAGTCTGTCTGACCATATTAACGAAACATAAAATACACATCCCCTTTGACACAGCAATGTCGCATCTAATAATCTACATTCAGAGGAGATAATAGCACTAGTATAACAAATAATATTAAAAGACAAATGAAGAAGAATATTTATTACCCACTGTTTATAATAGTGAAAAAGTGCAATCCACTTAAAATTACTAATAGAAAACTGATTAAATAAATCATTATAGACATACATTGTACCAATTAAAAAAGTAATATAGATAAACAGGTGCTTATTACCATGGAAACAGTATTTCAGTTGTTTTCCCAATTACTTAAGCAGAACTCTGCCACTCAAGATAGTAATTAATGCTTATGTATAAGGGTCTGTACATTAACTTCCTTTAATCATTAACCTGTGACTTCCTTGAAAAAAATTTCTAAAAAACCACTCAGATACAGTATAATCTCTTTAATGCATAATTATATACATATAACTAGAAATCTGGAACAATATTCATCAGAAAATTAACTCTGCTCAGATTTTGTACAGTCTTCTTACTTCTTTATACTTTTCTGTATTTATAAACTTTTTTTCATGTATTACCCCCTAAAAAATCAAGTCTATTGAAAATGCTCATTTCACATCTTTAAGCAGGGTTATACTTCAACCATCAAAGAATTAAAAAAATACAAACAAAATGGAAGAAATCTCTCAAATTCACCAGCTTTTTAAAAAAACAATGCTCACACTGTTCAAAGACCCAAACTTCTCACTGTACCAGATTAGAATTATTTCCATTTATCATCAGTCAAGTTGTACACTGAGCACCTGTGTGCCACGGAAATGCATATGGGAAGGAACATTTAAGCCTCCTTGGGAAGGCTACAATGTGTAGCCCCTTCCCCTAAATCCTTTTATTCCCCTCATTCCTCTCTTATGCCTTTCCTCTTCCTTTTCTCTTCCCTGTCTGGCCTCTGTTCTCCCCCTCTCTAAGTCTGCTGTCTGCCATCAGATGCTTGCTTGGACTGCAATTCTTTCTACTGACAGGAGGAGCCTGGGACAGCACTGAGGAAAGTCTCCCAAGTCTCATCTCAAGGTCTCAAAAATGAGTACTCAAATACCCCTTTCTCAATTCCTGTGTCAAGATGAGTCCCAACAGGAGCTGAGTTTGCTACATTCCCCCACCTTCATGATCTCAATAGAGTCCAGGTGGCTCCAAAATCCCACTTCCACACCTGCCCTATCTTTCTGAAGACAAGTCTGGGTATCCAGCCAGCAATTCAAATGACATGTCTACAGCTGAGTTTCACACGTTCCCTCCTACTGGCCTGTCTCTCTTTGCAGAAGCACCTTTCTCCTAGGGCCCCAAGACAGAACCCTACCATTTATGATTATCAACTACTACCTGTTTTTTGATCCCTGACCCCCAGCCCCCCACTCCTTTGACAACCACTAGTCAACACCAAAATCATTTTTCCTTCAAAAATACACCCCAAGGGCTGGCCACTTAGCTCAGTAGGTTAGAGTGCAGCCTTATAACACCAAGGTCACAGGTTCGGATCCCCAAATCAGCCAGCCACCAAAGAAAAAAAAAACGTTAGGGAGTAATTGGGTAAGGGACACAAACAGTAATTATGATTTGTAATGATAAACATGCTAATAATATTGATTTGATCATCACATACTGTACACAAATACTGAGTCAACTCTATACCCCATAAATAAGTATAATCAAAAATAAATTTTAAAAACTAAAAAAAAAAAAAGAAAACAGCGATGGCAAAAATACACCCCATGTTCCTTTCTTCATATTTTTTCCTATTCTAATTTGGCGCACTGCTGTCAGATCAATTTTTTTTTTTTGATAGTCATTCTCCTGTGCTTAGAAATCATCAATGACTTCCAAATGCCTGCTAATAAAGAACAAACTCTTAAAGCCAGTATTCAAATTTCCACATGATCTTCTCGTATTCTACTTCTCCAGCATTACTGCTCATAATGTATTATCTAGTAACATTCCAAAACTGTGTTCCTGGGCTCCTGAGCCTAGGCAGTGGGGGGCTGAGGGCCTCAGCTATGCACCCTCCCCCAGTCTGCATCCACCCGAGATGAGCAGTGAGCCTCCACCAGAAGCACCCCAGGCTCCCAGGGTGGAGAGTGGCTGAGGGTCTCAGCCATGCCCCCCTGAGCCCCCCCAACCCC